TGTTTTCAATTTATCAATCCATTGATTCTCTTTGTACCATCACGAAATTCCCTTCTTTTATTTAATTACGGGAATTTAATTAAAATTTTATTTCAACAATTCATAGCCAACAGGCATTCTCAGTGCTATTTATCCTGGTGTTTGAATTACTCATTGAATTTTAATTAATAATTTTGAATTTGGAATGGATGCAAAAATTCTGTACATATTCGATAAAAATGAGAGAAATATTTTTCGCAGAATAATTCAAAGGAAATCGGAAATCAGGATAGATTTGGGGATGCGATAAAAAAAATAGAGTGAGGAATTTGTAAATGTTCTATCAGAGGTAGTGATGAGGTGGGCCCCGTGTGCCGACCAAAAGCAAGATCAACGCCCCTTGGGTCAGGGTCAGTAGCCTTTGGCACTCGCGTCTCGTATTGTGCGCAGGCCATACTTTGATTATAGGTCAAAAAAGGCATTTCGACGCATTTTTCATTTTTACGTACAATCCAAAAAAAAAAAAAAATCCCCGCAGCGGAGCACACAATCTGCCAACGTATTTTCCATGTAGCTTACAGCTCGGCCGGATTAAAACGACTCCCGGATTGTTTTTTTTTTTTCCACTGTAGAATTTTGATGAACGACATGTAATCGTTGCCCTCAACACCGAAAACCTCCATTCACCAATATATTGGTGCTATCAACTAATCTGGATTTCTTTATTTTCATTTTTTCCATTTGTTTTACAACTGTAAATAATTCCAATTCCAATTCGTTGATGGCATCGTATTTTTTTGTAACAACGACTGCTGGAGTAAAAAGTGGGGAATTTGAAAGAGCGAGACCCGTTATCATCACTTATCCATCTCGACTGAAAGCTTTGATAAATCCCCAGGAATTACGGTAATACGAGACTCATTATTACGCTGAAGGCCTAGTTGAAGGCGAGATTATTACAATGGCGATGAGAAGGTTTAAAAAAAATGAGCTGGCTACACAGCGAGAATAAGATTGAACCGTTAGTTCCAGACGAGAGAACCCACCGGACCGGACTATCCTTTTCTGACCAAATCGAGACGTTGAACGTGTGTCTATGCCCATCTCTAATCTATTCGTGACTGGCGTGACAAACAACCGAGTGGAAGATTCAACATTCTGTACTTAACCCTGAGTTCTAGTAGAAATTCCACAACCTTGAGACTTGTCTGACCACCGTCTAGACTTTCTACTAACGTCTAACGTCTAAACATCGTCTATCGAGTTTCTACAACTCTCACTATCGCTCTCAGCCAGTCATGATGAAATAATCCACTCTACAACTCGAAGGGGAATCCTTTGTGTCAACGAGGGCAATTTACATCCATCAATTTTTTTGGTTTTGTCTTACAGGTCATTCGAGATATTTCGAAATATTTCGAGATCGATTTTTTTTTTCTCGTTTTTATGTCATGATCGGAGAAATCGGCATCTGGATTTCTGCAGTCATTCGAAATCCTTTAATTAATCAAATTTCAAATGGATGCAATGTCCTCGGTGGCGGAAACTTTTGAAGCAGCATTAGAGGAAGCTTCAACACCTGGCCAATGGGACAGACCAAGAGACGAACGGCGAAGAACGATGCCGGGGGTGGAGAAAGGGGTAAGTTAGCACGAAATGAAACAAGTAATCGCCATTAATCCTCGAGGGAGTGAGGGAGGGCCGCCACGACGTGGCTGAGAGGGCGTGCAGAAGGTAATTAGAGTGGAACGTGCTCACCACGAGGCTCACGAACTTCAGTACAGCCTCGGCATCTACACCCCGTCTCTCTTTTCACCCTTGTTACTCTCTATATGGCAATAACGAGTCGACTGATAAGAGAGAGATAAAACACCCAGGGCATCAGGTGAAACTGAAACACGTGTTTATCGTAGATTTTTTTTGTGCTGACAGCGAGAGAAAAAAAATCAGTCTCAAGTATTGACACGAAGTGGTATCCCGGGTAAAAAAAATTTAATCGGAATATTTTTTTCCAATTTTGACAAAAATTTTTGGAAAAAAAATTATTTTTATCTACCAATTGAATTCAGTATTTTTTTGGACTTGTGAAGAGGTCCGCTACTCAGAACTCACAAGTTTTCCTGAGAATTTGCAATGAAAAATGATTTTCGAAAAAAAAAAATTTCCCTGGATTTTCGAAAAAAAATGAATTTTCATCGATTTTCGAAAAAAATTTATTTTCATCTCCCAATTGAATCCAATTTTTTTCTGGACCAATCGAGAGCTCCACTACTCAGAACTCACGAGTTTTCCCGAGAATTTTCACGATGGAAGATGCCCATCTTCCTGGGTAAAAAAAATTATAACCAGAATATTTTTTTACCCGATATAATAATAAAATTCTGTAATAAAATGAACGAGAGACGATTCAATTGCCGATTTAATGCGAAATTTTTCGACCGATTTGAAGATTTCTCATCTGTCGATATTATTCCACTACGTCGCTTGGAAAATTGATTTATAATCACCATCGTCTAGCAGCTTTTCTCTCCCCCAGTTTTCCCTGTATTTTCTCTTCCCCTATTTGTGAGTGGTGCCCCGACGTTACTGATGAACCATTAATGAAAATTCCCGGTGTATCGATCGATTCCCGATATCGGGGGGCTTGTTGGAGCCCCTGAACGAGTGAAACGAGCTATATGTGTTTTGACAGCTAGACAGGGTTAAATTATGGCATCATATGGCGGTGAGACCATCAGCCTATTCACACGCACATGCACTCGGTGATAATGAATATTGTAGCTAGGTGGAAAATTCACAGTCAGGTAATTTGTCCCATTAGCTGCATCACACTTTCGTTGAAATTATTCTGGTGCATTAATGGGCATGAACAGCAGAAGAAATCACCGATGGTTTTTATTCGGATATCATCGCCATAAATATCTCATCCGAAATTTCAACTTGACCGCCAGAGAGATTGCGATTAATGGGCCGACGACATGGACAAATCTAACTGGTGGAAAAAAAAAGTAGGTGAATAAAAATGGCGGTGGGTCATTGACCCTGAGACCAGAAGCGATGCGTCAATTGGGACTCGTCGAGATGAACGCCAAAAATATATCGGGCTTGTGAGGCCCGAAAAATATGACACCTCAGGAGAGTTGGAGAGAGATGTCCCATTTTTTGGGATTTTCCTTTTTTTTTTTCGTATTTATTGTACAATTTAATACACAAAGATAAAGTTGAGATTAATTGTCGTAATCACGAAGATGAAAGACTTTTTTCTTTCACCTTCGTAATAACGCACACTGTCCCGTTATATTTCAGCCATCGTTCCCCAGTCGACAGAAAGTAACAAAAGAGAAATACAGAGAGCAGCAAAAGGAAGAAAAACTGAAGAAAATTGTCCGGATAACTCGCGAGGAATGTGCGCCTCGCTGGTCTCGGGTACGTCTGGATGAGACGCGAGGTTAGCAGGAAAAAAAAAAGTAAAGAAAAAAAAAAGAAAGAGTCAGATCAATAAATGGAAAAAGAGGAGGTACGGTGATACATGAGAGTTTGGTCATGAGAAAAATAATTGCGATGAGTAAATATATATATAAATTCGGTTAAAATAATTCTCGAGAGAAGTATATATTTTTTTTTCTCAGGGCAGAAGTCAACTGGAGGACATTATCAACAGCTCAAACTTTTCCCCTACATCCACGTCTCCAGGAAACTCTTCTAAGTATTATCTCAAATTTCCCGTTTTCATGATTTTCCTGTCTTCGTTATCTGGAGTTGATCGTGGAAGTGATCGATTTTCAGAGTTATAAAATATCCTGAAAGCGTTGTAAAAAATACAGCAATAAATATATTAAACTAGTTCACACAATCCGTCATCCGTTACTGATGTTCAACACTCATGCATCATTTATCCACCCATGGCATTGTACTTCCGCCCATACGAGGATATGAGGTGTATTTTCCTGGAAAAATATCGGTGTTTATCTCACCGATAGACATTCAACTTTATCGCACATTGCACTCCGGTTTATCACGAAAGTAAAAGTACTTTCATCTTCCTTTTCCTTCAGATTTCGACAAAATCAATATTTGATGGTTTGTGCACATACCATGCTGGTAAATAAAACTCGTGTTTACGAAAGAGGGAGTTGATTGAATAACGATAAAACACGTCATCACGAGAGATTTCGATATAATAGGGCGTGTAAAATTTCTGCCCCGATGAGAATCAGAGCCACCACATGGGGGTGCGATTCTCTGCTCCAACCGTTGATCATTTGGAAATTGTTTCAGCGTTTTGTGGTTAAACCCCGATCGACCGAAGGGATGATGTACAAGAGAACAATCGGTTTGCGTACGCTTGGAAAATCCTGAGGGTCATCCCGATGCTCTCACATAAACGACTGAAATATCCACAAACTCGAGTATCAAATTCAGATCCTCCACAAAAAGCGATAACATCATTTATTCACCACTCGTTCCACCGCAAGAAGAGCATTTATTTTATATTTTATTATTTTTCATAATTTACCCCTCATCCTTTTCTCAATTTCCATAAATGAGAAGAGAACGGAATGCGGAATGCAGTCGGGGCACTTGACATCGCTCTGTAATTCCGTCAATTAAAAAAATAAAAATAAAACGAATTTTGGGCTAGCACTCAACGAGCGATTAGTCCAATCGACGAAACACTCAGTCCACTCAGTCAGGCATGAAGAGTACCCACCCCTTTTTTTTCCCCAATTGCGCTATTACAGGAGCGGTGAAAATTTTTGGTTGCATATCTACGTTCATGTGCGAAATTCATTGTGAAAGGTACAATTGTACGATTTCCCGGAGAATTGAGTTGAGATGAAAATGCCCGGAAAGCACGTCCGGTCTGTCATGGTGCGGTCTTTCACCAGCATCCCACCTCAGAAAATTCACCGATGCCATTTTCATCCCCCCGGAAAATGTGCACACCCACGCTATAACCTCCAAACTGTCTTGTTAAATGCCCCATTGAATTTAAAATTGAATATCTCTGTGATTTTCAGCTTGTGAATGGACTTGACGGACCGAGGTATATCTGTGAAACGGAAGTAATGGATGAAGTGGCACTGGCAGCAAGTAACCATGAGTACACCTCGCCTGGTAACCACACCAGCAAAAACGCCAACGGCAACATTATCACTCTCACACTCAAGAACAACCACCTCATCGTCGAGACTGAGGAACGAGCTGTGAGTATATCAAAAGTGTGCGGAAGATGAAGATGCGAGAGGAGATGAAAAAGAAAGTTGTAGAGGGTCTTGGGTTTCCCTGGGAAAAACTTTGTGGGGAGGGAGAAAGGAAAAAGGGAGAGGACAAATAAAAATAACTCGAATAAAATGAAAAAAAAAATTGGGGATTGTATAAATTTTGCTTTGGGAAAAGTTCCCGGGATGTGGAACTTCGGGAAATTGAATAAACAAACTAAAGGGCATTGAACTGAATTTTTAATTCGTTCATGGATTCCACATAAAATGGAGAATGGTATGTGTACAATTCGCCGGATGACAATTTCGTTTGAAAAATTATTGCATTATTTATTGCATTGCGCGATTTTTTTTTTCGCCCCACGGAAGTCGTAATATATACATAATACAACAATTTATTAACAAAATGGTAGCATCTAGCGATAATAACGCAGATCATCCCACTTCTCCATAATTATCCAATTAATGTTCGTGCAGAGAGGCGATAAAGCGAAGTGATAAACAACACCGAAGAAAATAATGACTCCATCGTAGTTTCACACTCGATAGCCATGAAAACAAACGACACATCGCGAATAAATGAGAACACGATACATATCGGCAACGGGAGGTTCCTCTCGTATTACGTTTAATGATCGTACTCTATATAATCGTCAACTGAAGTAAACTAAAACGCGGGTACTCGTAATTCGAGAAATACTTGGCCGCACGATTGTATTAACGATTTTAAACGGACGATCGCCTCGCGATAGAAATCCAACAGGTGTTTCAACAAAAAAATTGAAACCATGAAAAATTCTGTTCTCATCAGTACAATGAAAATTAATGAAAAATAAAATAACAATTGAAAATTAAATGAACAATCCGAATGGGAGAATTACATTCGAAAATTCAGACGCATCGTGTAGAATGGAGTTGAAACTCCAATTATCGAACACTTGCCGATCTTGTTTCCGATTTTCATCCTTCGCCTATTCTCTGCTCATGGAGTTGGCGATATTGGCGATGGCTGGGGAATGGAGGCGGGGAAAGTTCAGTATATTGAGAAAGGCTCATCTGTAGTGCTGGTGATCTTCCTGGAGTTCCAGGAGTCTCTGTGTCGACGCCAGAATGGCCAAACTATCGAGGAACAGCGGAAGGGCGTGGAGTCGCAAACGAGCGGGGTATGAAGCTCTGAAGGCATTTGCGGTGTGTTTGATCGTTTGGGTTTCTCTATAATCGTTTAGAGGATTCGTAAACAGATTTGGGAGGTTCTTGATTGGATTAGTGCACTCGGTGAACATTTATCGATTACAAAAATCGGTTTTAGGACTATTCATTCCGAATTTATTTATCTCGGATCGTCCGATTAATAGCAAAGGTATTTTTGGAGAATTTTATAAGAATCAAGAGGGAATCGATAATAGGAAAAATGGCGGATGAAATCCGGGGATTTGTTTGTGTCGAATTCTCTGGGGGTGACGCCCTTTATTGCCTGTCTCCTCGGGACAACTTGCTCTATTCCACGGTTTCTTCTCTCAGCAGTTTTTTTTTTTATTCGTACGTGGGTTTCCATTGGTCACCCATCCACTCACTGACCGTGCTTAGTGTTGCTTAACTTTTCCGGGATTTAGTCCATCCACCGTGACAGCATTTCACTCCCGAAGGATTTCAAATCCTAGTTGTACCGCACCTTTCCCACTTCATGTAGGTAAATATATTGAATTTACTCCCTTTCTTCGGTTACCCGGGGATTTGAATAACTCCGACTTTTCCGTAATAAATGGGATATTAAGAAAATAGAATATTTCTCGGCTGCTGCGATAAGATTTTTCACTCCCGCGTCATTGCCATTCTATACCCGAAGGCCCCGTCATATCAGCCCTGACAATATTTTCCACCGTGATTTTCAAGTTTACGAGTTTGGGGAGAACGGAATACCAATTCATGAACGAGAACTCGTGAGATGCATCGGGGAAAAATATTTTCACATGTTTCCCTGAAAAAAAAAGGGAGCTATTGAATTTTAGAAAACACTTTTTGCTTTTGGATTGCGTAATTTACCTAGTCCACCGGAAATGGAGCCTTGGTATTACGAATGCCATGAAAATTGGGTCGCGAGCGTAAACGAAAATTCAGCAAATAAACCTTGACTCGAAACTTGCTGAATACTCAAAAGAGTGTGTGAGGAAGAGCCATCATCTGGTGATTCCTCAAGGGATACTTCATATTCAAAGAAAACCTGACCAACCCCTCGTGAAAAGTCACTCCCGTTGGAAGTATTCAGTTATTTGCGCGAGTTGTCTGGAAACTATTGAAGGCATGGTGAATACTATAAGCGACAGAGAGTAAGATGGTGATGCGATTGTGGTTGGCGTGGCCACGACGAGTTTGAAGGCTCTTTACAACATCCCAAGGCACCTCACCAAGGGTTCCACCAAGAGTTAACTCCAGGCATGGAGTTCTGGATGAAACTACTCCTGACTTACAGCACCTGGTGAATTTCTGTTGTCTACTATTAAACTTCCGTGAATCTAATGCGGGTGAACTTGTTGAAATAAAAATTTAACGAGTAGTAGGAATAATAAAAGTAAATGCAGGTCAATCCCTTGACGGACAGCATTTTTCACGAATGAAAAAGTGATGAATGCACTCGAGTTAATGTCAAAGGTCATCTTTGAAACCTCTTGAGGAAAACCCAAGGTATAAACTGCACGAAACACGTTTGCATAATATTCATCTGGCACTATTCCAACTTACCGTATTTACCTTCCCCCACCGAATATCACTGGGACTAGTGTACCTCTCGATTCAATAAATACCTATTTCTGTCTATGATCTCCTTTACTGCTGGAATAATAACTCCAGTTTATCGTGCATCTCCAGATGGCGTTCTCTTTTGAATTATGATGAATTGTGAATTGCCAGGGGTTCTATTGTCTCTGATATTCGGTGAATTAATTCAGAGGGAAAGTTTTTGCCGGAAGGTGCAGGCCATAACTCCGGGGATGGAGTTAAATTTTCGGTTGAGAATCTTAATCTCAATTCAGGCTATTATTTTCACGATTTTATTGATCACATTGAATTTATGATTTTGCAGTTCACCGCTCAGTGTCTGAGAATTGTCTCACAATTTTTCCCAAATAACTGCGAGTAGTTCAAGTGCTTTTTGTGCATCCTCTCCAGAATAACAATGAAAAATTCTGGAAAATTCCGACTAATCCTCATTACCCCGTACTTTCACATCGCAAATCCTACCCTCGAGTACTCCAACGTTAATATACCGAAATTCACAATTGCACCTGTAGTTCCGAGAGGTGGTAGATTTTTCCTCGGCGTTGGAAAAGTCGAAGCGAAAAGCAACAATGCATTCAGGTCCCGGGTGTCTCCCATCTTGTTTTTTTTTACCCTGCAACCCGGAAGAGTTAAGGGTAGGTTCCCTGCTGACGTGAAACGTGCTTCGATAATCCCCCGACGATCCCCTCCAGTACCATAAAAAGCACTCGTAATCTCGCAACTCGACTATGTGCATTTGAAAAGTGAAAAAAAAAAAAAATAGACTCACAAAAATCAAGGATCAGAGTCACGCTCGCGTTGAAACAATCAGAAGAGCAAAGAAAATGATGAAACTTGGGTGGAATGAGGGGGACAGGATGGCTCAAGGATGTCAACTTTATTACAGCAACTTGAGAAACTTCGTTAGGAACCAAACTGGATTAAATTTGCTTCCCAACGTTGGTTACAGGGTAATGACAATCGATATACATAACACGATGTGATAAAGGATTTCTATTATGAGATGACGTTCACGTGTTAACGATGTTTCCATTTTCAGAAATGAGAATTCCTTTTAAATTTGAACAAAACAAATCGGGGATTGCTCAGTCATTACATGTGGTACAGGTATTTTTGCTAATCATCTGAAAAATTGTATCAACAGCGAATTTGCAAGAGAATTAACAATAATATTAATTCATGTATGATAGGTTAATGCGAGTACATGAAGAGGAGAAAATTGATGTTTATTGGCAGGTATTTTCGTATGGCATCAGGATATTTAACGAATGTCCATAATTTCCCGAGTGATATTCCGCACGTGGAATTTTCAATAATCCGATTTCTACTAATTGACATTAATCGAGCATTTACGTGACTGGCTGCATGGATTCAATAATTATTTCGTTCTATTCTATCAATTAAATCAAATTATCTGGAACATGATTTATCGAAGGCTACAATAGGCTGGATATTGTTGTTGGATTTCTCTTCGGTTACCACCTGGAGGCCAGATTTTTCGGTTTATTTTTCGAGCTCAATATAACGGTAAATGCGTTTTTCCATGGTTGACCGAGTACATTCCACTCGAAATCGATAGCCAACCTCATAGGCACTGGTGTTTCACATCGTTTCACTGGAGTTCAAGGTCTACATCCCTTCATTATCGGGATTTTCCACTGGTAAACGGTAAATTGACGTGCGTTAACGCAACAATGATACCTAACGCGTCACTTACCATCGCACATAATTTCAACCAATCTCGCGTGTCCTGCATTCTCCGGAAACCCTTGGGCGATAAGTTAACGGGCAATTGTGGTGAAATGTCATTTCACCAAATACCCCCGAGGTTTTGCGGTAGTTTGCGCTATCAAACCTCTAGGTACGATTAATTATGGCATTTTTACACTGGTGACGGGTCAATTTACTGTCAGGGTGAAGGGGTGACATGGATCAACGATGAAATACAGGGCTCTCTCATTTTCTGTCACACGCGTTATTCAAACCGTCAAAAAAATTTTCTGTGGTAATAATTTTTATCCAAGTCATAAAACCACTCGACTCATCTCATTAATCCAACCCACCGTAAACAACTCGTGAGTTTCACTGAATCTGAGAAGATCAGAGACTCCAGATGATGTATCATCTGGCCAGTTGCTCCACCACATCAGCTCGTCCCCAGAATGAGGTCATGGGGGCAGATCGATGTCCTGGATGTCAAGTGGAGTGTACCACTGGTGCAGGGTGTGAGAGGAGTTGAACGGTGGATGAATCTCGGATGACCCCTGCAGGCCACCTAGAGGAGCAATCGACCTCGGGTAGAGGATAGAGTGTAAAATGAGTCAGTGAAATGCGCATGGGCTGTGGCAAGCTTCAGCTTTAACGGGCACCAGGTGAAATTTAAAAGTTCTCCGTAGATTCGACTTAGTTATTCAATGGAATATGTATACGAGACAAGTACCTATAGGTTACACCAAAGAATTTGAAATTTTCACCCTTAATCCACCGGTATTATGAGGGGTAGTGTGTACCGTTGAAATTTAATGCAGACGATTAAAACCGATAAGAAGCAAACTTGAGTGTGTCGTTAGAGAGTTTATGATTTTCACCCTCTGCTGATGTTACCACTTGCTGCAGTGATAGTTTGACACGGGATACTAAAATTTGCCTTCTAGGTTGCGCAATGTCAACACAAATTTTACGATTATATCTAGCTACATGATGAAGTACATGTGGATGGTATAATGGAGCCGTGAGCAGGTTCTTTTAACTCTCATTTGATGAGGATCGTTTGTCTCGAGGTTAAAGTTGCCTTTGGGAATTCTTTGTGGTTGCAGGTTACGATGGAGGATAACTCGTTTGTCGTTGAGGTACAGCCCAAGTATATAAGGGATGAGGTGGAGCTACACACTGGATCCACTGACGATGTTACTAGTGGGGTCACTGATCAACAGGCCCTGGTTCATCGAGAGGAAATCCCGGAGGACTCTACCTCCGGTAAATTCGGTTTTTCCAGTAGAATTTAACAGTTCAATTTATCTTGACTGGGATTAATTAATTGGTCTAGAAATATATTGTTTACATTGTTTAAATTAATTTCAGAATTTGGGACCAAATTATTTGGCAGCACAAACACTGGACTCTCGCAGTCGGACCTTTCGATCTCCAGTCAGGGCTCCTTAAACCGCGGGTACAGATATGGAAATCAGGTCGAGTACGAACCTGTAACATTTGGTCACACACTCTACGGGAATAACTATCAAACGGAGATTAATTCGCAGAAATCCGAGGGCTCCAAGTGGGTGGAGTTCGATAAATCGCCGGATATCGATAAAACATTGCTCAACGATACGAATACTTCGAATTTCGAAAAGGAAACGGACTACGTAAGTCATCCATGGAAAACCTCCACGTACAGTAACCGCAGATCTTTAGCCCGTTTTTAATAGATATTTTTCCAGGATAAACACAACAACCTTGACACCTCATTAGACTCAGGCTCATCCCTTGAACATCAGGATTCAACAGACGCCAGCAACTCAACTGACACAGTAAGGTCGAATCCGAATCTGCAAGTGAATGGGGCAACCCCAAACAAGTTGGAAGGTATGGAGCGGAAGGGTCTGATCAACGATTACAAGTTGGATTCTGCCAAGCCAGTGATAACAGGGGCACTTCTCAAGGACGAGGGAATAGATGAGAACTGCCACGACAACAAGAGGAAAGTGGGTAATGGTACATTGTCACCGGTTCACAGAAACTCAAAGTCACGCGAGCTAAAGCCGGAGGGCAGTGTATTTGTTCCATGCCATAAGAGAACTAGTAGTATTCCACCTCGACTTATCGAAGATGGTCTCGATATTGATCGTAAGAAGGGTATTGATATCTACAGTCAAATAAAGACGAGCATTTTGCCCGGTTTGAGCCCAAAATTTGAAATTCTACAGAATGACGTCAGTCCTATTGACGAAAAGGAGAGTTAATCCTCGAGAATGCATAGAGTACAAAGGTGAATATTTAGTGGGTAAGGATGAGGGATCTCGTTCGGATAACGGTGAGATGGTGATTCGTCGGGGTTTTGCAAATTGGCTAAATCTGGAAAAAGCACTCGAGTCGGTGTAGACGTTGTTACCCCGACAATATACCGCTGATGACCGTCGGCGTTTGGTTTCTTGTCACTGGTTTTTTGGGCACTTCTAAACTGGGGAATCCCAAACCCTCTGGCATTTCGTGGTGAGAATTAAATGGCCAGAGGGGTGATGTGCACATGTGCAGGAACAATCGGAGACTAACGAACTCGAGAGCTACGTGGTTGTAGCATTAATTCACGTGTCTCCGCGTATTTTGGATGAATCGATGAGTAGGATGGCAATTTAACGGAGGATAATGTACAACTTGTTTATTTTTTATTTTTTAATGGTGGGGGATCATTTCTTCGTTTAGGGGAGATTGGGGAGGGAGGAAAATAATTGGATACCATCGTGTCAATTCGGAGAGAAAAGGAATTTGTATCGTGCCTATTTCCGTTACCAGACGAAGTTGAAGATGGGGAGGAACTTTTCAATTTCCCTGCTGAGTGTCTGCTCAGACACTGGAGGTCGATATTTGCACTGGAGAAGTGCTCATTTCAACTTTTTTTCCCTTCTTTTTTGCCGGTGTATTGGAAGCTGGTGTGATTATTCTGGGGAATTTTCTTTTCTGAATGGATGGATTGAAGATGATGAAGAGACTTCGGGGTTTTGTGGGGCAATGCAATTGTGGGTATAACGAGTAGAGTATCTATGTGATGAGAAATTATAAGTGAAGTGATCAATTAATGAGGACTGAGCTGATGAGGCTTCAGATTTATTCAGTAGCTCAACCAATTTTTTTTTTTTTTTGCTGTTGGATGACTTGATGACACTCGAGTGTCAAGGGCTTTTCTTTCATTATTTGGGTTGAGAAATTTTACTAGTACGTATTTATAGGATAGCCACGTCATAGAATTTTTAAGATTAAGCTTGTGGATGAGTTTCCAGTGCCAGTTCCTCGGACATTTTGTGAAATGACGTAATGATAAATGAATGTTTGCTGCTCGATTTTAATATTTATATCTCTGTTCTCGAGTTATAACTGTGTTATGAAAAATTCAAATTTTATACGCTTACGTTGTATATTAACTACCCGGGTAAAAAAATTGTAATCAAAATATTTTTTCCAAATTTTCAAAAAATTTCTGGAATATTTTTCAGAAAATTTTTTTTATGAAAAAAAAATCGGGGAACCAGACAATTTTATTTTTTGGAAGGGTTTTGAAAAATTTATCAAAAATTTGAATAGGAAAATTTTTATTGTTTATTGTTTTCTTTCCCGATATTTTTTTTGTTTCAAAAGAAAAATTTTCTGAGAAGTTTTCCCAAAATTTTTTGAAAATCTTGAAAAAATATTCCGATTACAATTTTTTTTTACCCGGGTAATGATTGTCGTTGTTAATAATCCAATTGTGTGTGTGATAATATCAATGTTTGGTCCCATCATAAGAGAATTCATCCCTTCGTCTTTCCCAAATAATTTTAGATATATTTCTGTGAATATTGATGAAAAATTTCAGTCTCTAGAAGTGAGTAGATTCCCGACAGCTATAGAATCCGATTTTTTTTGCTAGTGAATTTGGCATCCCTTGGATGATAAATTATTGTAATCATTAGGAGTAACTAGCGCTGAAGTGTACTGCATTTACAATAGATTTTATATAAAAAAAAACAACAGGTCATTGAATGTCTTATGTGAAATCTAAGAACTACTGTAATCTTTAATCCACTGTCTACGCCACTGAAAAATCAAAATCGCAGCAATTAAAGACATTTTTATTGAAATAATTAATTATCATTCCTTTTAATAACCAGCAGCTGTCTCTATTCCATCATCAGTGCATTATTCGGAGGAATAAAAAATTTGACATGAAGAAGTGATGGAAATTTATTTGATTTCTGCTCATAAATGTGAGCTCTATCCCATCATTCAGTGATAAGTAAAATTTGTGTGCCGAGTTACTCATTTATGAGTTAAGGATTAAACTTACTCCGGAGATAAATTTGTTCCAACGATTTATTTAAGAGGACTCGGGCATTGGGTGGGAAATATCACTTTACACTCGCCGAGACGGAAATTCGTTTTCCTCCCAGCACTCAAAAACTTGACCGGAGTTGGCTCATAGTATTTTAATTTCCTCGACTATTCTGATGAATTCATTACGACTATAGTCTGAATCTCTCATATTTTTCGCCTCGACGAGAATCCACAATGATTTAAATCAAAGAAATAAATTCCGACCAGTAAATCGAGTCAAAATTGTGACCTTAGACCTGAAAATAACTTTTCGCATGTAAAAAAAATAAATGGAATTCGAATAACTTCGTATTTGTGGACATCCCCAGGTAGTTGCAATGCTGACGAGTAGAATGAGGTCACTGCACCCGAAGAAAATTCATTTCAATCAAATTAATGAACGACGAAATCAACGAATCCAATAAATTCAGAGCGAACCGCTGTATATTTTATTATTCAGCTTATTAAATATTTAAATTGGAAAAATCAGTGTTTCAAATTTGTATTGTACTTTATCGTGAACGAATAAATTCATTACTTTGATTGCAGTCGAGATTTTCAGGTGTCAAGTACCTTTAGAAGTGATTTAAGGCCTTGTTAATAAAATATTCATTAAAAGAGGGACAAAAAGAATAATCATTTCAAGGAAAATAGCGCTGGATGTACAATGAGTGATAAACTGTTTGCACGTGCTTATGAAAAATTTTTCGTACACATGGGCATCAGTAATTGGACCATGGATGTCCATAAATAATATATTTAATTGAACAGACAGAAAGGGATGAAATTGAAATTCTGTAACCGAGCCGTAATATATCCACGTTATTCAGTAAATTTACCGATACAACGTAACTCTTACAACTAGATTTAATTAATTCCATAGACTGGAACGGTTTATAATTTATCATGTAAGTTTATCCATGAGGAAAGAATAAATAAATTTAATGAACAAATAGATACGCTCGGTAGGGTGTATCCCTCGATCGTTTCGCACGATCTCTGAAGTATTTAATATTAGATTATTGACATTTTATTGAGATTAAGATTGTCGAAAGATCTATTCGCATTCACGTAGGAATGGGGATAGGTCTGATTGAGCTTTCGGCTGAACTTTGTCATTTTATCAAATTTTTACACAAAATAAACGAAAAAACAAAAACATTTGTTGAGTATGGAGGTGACGTATTTATGGATGGAAAATCAATTTGAACGTATCAGTTTCGTGTTGCATGAGTCAATGAACTTGTTCAATACCGTCGTGTAAAGGTGAGACGAAATAAAAAAAAAAACGAATGAAGACGAGTGAGGCTATCTGACCTTCTTTCATTTTCATCAATATCTCACGCATGAAAGAATTTAATATAAAATCCTGGCGATTCGCCACGAATTTCTACTCCACTATTTTATTGCTTTTCCACCACTGATATTGCAAATATCGTCATTTTTCGTACATTTCGTTTACATGGGGACCTTTCACGGAAATATTCACGGAAGAATTCCTCCAGAGTCGATTGATCTTTATTATTTTTCATGGAACGTATCCCAATGTTCATCTGATCATTTGGAAAGAGAACCTGAAAACTTCTGGCTTCAATAACTCCAAGAGTTCAAAGTTCATAATTAAATTTTAAATACACATAATAAAAAAAAGGGGGAACCCCTCAATTAGAGGTGTCACAATAAAAAAATCAATGCTGATTATTTAAAATAAAAAAGCACAGCCTCGACAGTAGGTAATCCATGACCGCCGGTAAAATTCAAATCAACCCCTGGACAAGGTATTTTCACCCCAAGCTAGTCCCTCGCAAGGTATCACCGAGCTTTTACCACTTGTTGAATGAAGCTTGCAATCCCTTTTCCACTAGCGCCACCTCTCACCCCCAAAATCAAATAAAAATCAACCCCAGTGTACGCCCCACGCCCCCTGGAGCATTACAGAATACGTATCCCTCGAATTATGCATGCGCGTTTTTAATTCGGTAATCAATAGTAAAAACCGTTCGCCCATCTCCGCCCTCGCATTATATCCCAGCAACGAGATCCCACCCCCTAGTTTTATCTCCAAGGGTGGAGCTTGAACTATAAAAATTCAGCGCATAAAATCCACTCATCAATTCCACACAAAATTCAATAACTCAAAATCATTTTTTACCCTCCAAATTAATCCCAATCATCCGGCATTCACACAAATCCACAAAATTTTCACAATTAATTCCCCACATTTCAGTCTCATCGCGGTGCATTATTATCATCATATATGCAACAACATTTCCAATAATGAATGCATTAATACCATTGAAAATTTTCACCGAAACAAAGAAAAATCATAACACAATAAACTCTGCATTGCGGATCATCATTTCACCACCCCCAGAGACCCCATCCTCTCTGCATTGGTTCATCACCATAACCCAACCAAAAATACATATATGCCATGTCCCATTGATTACACCTGTTATTACCCCCTTCTCCCTGCTTCTCACCACCCCCACCCCAAAAAAAAAAAAATAAATAAATAAAACCAAACAATAAAAAGTTTCCCTTTGTTGCAATGTTACTGCAGTGGAGGGACATTTATTCGACGATTAGTGAAGATTTAATTACTGAGTCCGTAAACTTTTTTTTTCTCGGGTACAGGTGGAGAGAGTGACGTGATGAGGAAGCCTGGATTATTTGAAGAGGAGGGATTGCAATGGCGAATATATCTGTACAGTTAAAAGGGAATTGTGAGAGCAGGGAAAATGTGGGCGTCGGTGCCTACATACAGATACAACATTATGAAAACACGAATGTACTTTTAAATCAATACCATAGCATTGTGGAATGGTGAGTACCCCCTAGTGTTAAAGGTAGTTGGTGGGGGGGAGGGGGGATTTGTGGGGGGTTCAGCCACCGTTGCTTTTATATCTATATAAAACTGTTGTAGGGGGGTAACAGAGAATGAGTGAGAGAGAGTGAATGAGGGATGAGGAGAACCAACGGGGATTGGTTACATCTCGTAACATTAACCAATGCCTAACGTTCGTAAAGGTTTATACTACCGGTGCCACGTTCCATTATCAAATACTGGGACGAACGGTGTATCGGCTTTTTAACGTTATACATGCTCATAGTCTTCTCTCTATTTCACTCTGTGCCCTCTCCCCCTCGAACTCTCTTTTCCTCTCATATTGCAAGGGGGGCAGAGAGGGGGCTTTACGATCGGGTGTGCAGGAAGGTATTACTTTTGACGGCGCGTTTTACGCGCGTACCAGAAGCGACCCAGAAGGGCTCAATTTTCGAAACAGTCGGGAAAAAAAAAAATTACCAATGATATGTCAATGGGAGGAGAGAAAAAAAAATTGCTGAGATTCACTGATCGATTGGCCTCTCTCCGTCGTTCATCAATCATATCGGTGTAAATAATGACTGATAGTGGCAATCCATTTTAGGCGTTTTTTTTTTTGAGGGGTGACAAGGTGGTGTTTGTAGTTTTAATCGCTGAGGGGGGAGGGGGGGCTCGTGGAGTTTTTGCGGGTATTTTAGGAATTGCCGTTGAGGGTTATCGGATGTTTAATGGCATTGAATGTTCATCGGATGCTTGAGGGTGCGGAGTGAATTTTCGACTCGGTGAATTATTTTTGAAGGTCTTAGTCAATGGGGGTGATTGGGGGATGAATGGAATTTTGAAATATTAAAAATTTGGGGTGGCCCATTTTTTTTTTATTGAACGCTCGATTGGATTGCGTTGTAATTTTTTGAATGTCTCCATTTTTTTGGGGGAATATTTGATATCGCGATTTATTGATTCTCGTCATGTAGTAATTGATTGATTTTTAAATTCTTGAATATGGCTTTTTATTGTATTTTCCATTATCAGTAGGGGGTGCTTCACTGACTTTAATAACCGAAATTTTTTATTTTCCGCTGTAATAATTTTTTTTTATGAGTGTTCAATAAAAGATTTGATCATTCATTTGGGGATTGGAATATGGGGCTTTTACTCGGTCATCGGTCAATTGCAACGCGAGCTTTTTCCAGTTCACGTCGCGCCACATGATTTATTCCGGAAGTGCATTCGGATGAGGCCGGGTTTTATTGTCGGCTCGACAAGCT